TTCGTAATTCCTTTCCATTCGTAATTCCTGTGGGATTGTGGAATTCCCCAAAGAGAAAGCTGTGACCAGACTTTGTAGCTCTCAGAGATAGAGACAGTGGGGCATCCCTGGAGTAGGAGCAGCCTCTGGTCTGTACGGTCTCCGCTTTACCTGGAAGTGACTTCATCCTTTCCAGCCTTCCATGTCGATGCTTCTTTATTCCCTAAGTTGTCTGTGATCCTTTCATCACTGTGCATTATTACTTTTTGCTTTAGGTTTGCTCAAAGGGCTGGTGAGAAATACGGAAAAGCACATTATCTGTGGTTCTAATCAACCCCTGAAACGTTCCATTTAAGTCCAGATGAAGCAATTCTCCTTTAGAACAGCTGTGAAACCTCCTGTGAGGGAAGTAGAGAGTTAGCAAGCTGATTTGATTTCTTCAAACCACTGACAACTCTACGTGCCCACTACCCCACACATGCAGAAGCTTTTCATAGTCTCTCTACGTAGGCTCTGACTCTAACGTTACCTCCTAATTCACAGCGGTGCTGATCCTCACCATACAGTTACCTCTTCATGGCGATTGTGCTCATTACGACAATGGCTCTTCACCTCTCAGACCTTTTCTTTACAACCATCGTTCTGTTCTGTGAGCAGGTATTCTCCTACTATAAAAGCATGAATTCCCTATCTGACTTTGCCATTTTGGTCTCTAGCCATCTAACTTTCAAGGACCACCTAAAACTAACATCTTTATTCTCTGTATATGGATGCATACTGTTGAAAGCCTCTTCATATTTGTGTGCTTCCAAGTATCCATCCCTATCCATCCACTGGAAACACAAACATGAGAGGTTCATCAGAAACTCAAATCCTATACCTTTGCATTACATTTCTGTCTCCTTGCATGATAAAGTCAGTGCCAAACAGCCAGACACAAAATCATGGCCATGCATTTGTTATGACTGCAATACCTGTCTAACTGGCCAACCAGGGAATGGATTTCAATAGCCTCATACACAGCAATAGTCTGATTCCAAAACCTAAGGTTGTCTGTGAAGCATTTGCCCAGCTATGCTTGGGAACATCAAAATGTTTCAGTGGCGTCTTTGGGAGATTAGTTCTTATGTATCAAATGGAGTTTTGTCCCAAATATTGTCCTTGCCCTAGCAGCTAGATACAACTATAGCCTGGTGTCTTTGACAGTGTGCCATAAACTTTGGGATCACTACGTCTCAGTAAAAAGCCACCTTTGTGTTTCTGTTGGCCAAATAAGAGATCCTGGATGTTAATCAGTCCTGCCCTGCACCACAGCCTGATGAGTATAAATGAGTTTGGGGAGTACTGACTGTGTGCTTCTCAGTCAGACCTGGGTATCATTTAGTCATAAAAGACATGGCAGGAACTATGGGTATTTTCTAACTTGCAGCTAGCTGGTAAGGAAAACCAGTTTGTTAACAGTCATGGCTTTGGTCAGCATACTTGGATAAGGCACTTGAGAATTGTTCAGAAAGTTTAGATGGATGCAAAATTTGAATCCAGGTTCTGAAGTAGAGACTAACATCAGTAACAATAGTAAAGTGAAAGGCCCTGCCTACCTCTTTAGAGCTACATCTAGACTTCAGTTTTCTACTAACCAAACAAAACAAAGACACCACCATCTTAGGGTCATTGGTACCTGGGATATGCCACATCTCACAAGCCAGCATCATTCCTGTTCAGGGTCGTATGTCTCAAGTAGCTCCATAAATGAGTTGTCAGTGATCATCATACAGCATCGGAAGGTGAGACTCCTCCCATAGCTCTGTGGGTCCTGTGTGGTGTGCTCTAGTATCTATTTCATCTTATGCTGCAGCATAGAACATGCTTTCCTACAACTAAAGCGAACCTCTGCCTCACTCTTCCTAAGGACTGTCTCTACTTCCGTTAGCCTATTTCAACTCTGTATAGCTGTGTTGCACCGCATTGAATCCATGAATTATGAGAAGAAATGACAATACTGTTGAGTCTTCTCATCAGATACAGAAGAAGATATGCAGGAGAGATACATCACCTCACTTACTTAGACTACTTCTCTGAAGTTCTTGTATGTTCTTTGCTCTGTTTTCCTTATAAGATCTATTCCTCTGAAGTTCATACTTTTTGATATTTTAATAATAATAGATGCTATCATTTTCTGGACAGTTGTTGCTGAGAATGAAAAAGTAAGTTTGTGAGTTCATTCTGTAGCTATTGACTTCTAGTTCTGACCATTTCCCATGGACTCTTTATTATAATTATATGATATAACAGTTGAAATAAAGACAATTTTGTTTTTTTACTTCCAACTTACAACCCCCCCCCCTTTCTTTCCTATCCTGGCAAAACTCACTAATGAAAGTGGTCTGTCATTCACTCTCATGTACCAAGCTTTCAGGGTTTAACTATTGCCATAGCTTACTAGATGTTTGATGGGTTATTTTTTTCTTTTTTTGTTTTTGTTTTTTTATTTGTTTGTTTGTTTGTCCTACAAAGTATCAAGGAAACTTTATTCAGAGCACAACTATAAGACAGGGAACAATACAATAGCAGCAGGCCACAGAGTAAAGATACTCAAATGCCCAACAAATGCTTTTAATGAAGTTCTCTTTTATTTGCTAGCTAAGAAATTTTTATAAATAGATTTTGAATTTAATGAAACACTTATTTTAAAGCCATCTTCTGAAATGAGCAGCTTTCCTCATTTTTTGATGGAAACTCATGCATATCTTCTTGGGATATATCTAGCTTTGTCATGATGCTTTATTATTCTAGCACATGTCATGGCACACTCGTGGAGGTGAGGGGGACGCTGTAGAAATCGGTTCATCCTTCTGCAGTGTGCTTTGGAAGTCAACTCTTGACATCAGTCAGGGCAGCAAGTGCCCTTCCCTGCTGAGCCAGCTCGTCAGCTCTCTTGTAGGATTGGTATTAATATTTCAGTCTATATAACCCAGCTCAGATTTTTGTGTGTGGTGAAATGGAGGTCAGGGTTCATTTTTCTTATGGCTCTCCCTTTGTTCCAGATCTTTATTGAAACAAACTTCCTTTTCCCCATAAATGTCTTGCCTTACTGTAGAACAGTTGCCATAATGTGTGCTTCTATTCTCAGGCTGTATATTTCTGTCTGTCAATTTATCTATCCTAATATTAATGTTTTAATATCTTAATTACTATAATTGTATATTTTTTCCTCAAAATCAGGTAATATAAATCATCTCATTATTGTCATAGCTAATTTCTATCTTTTCATTTCTGTATGAATTTAGGAGCACCTAATACATGTCTATTTTTAAAACAAGAATTTTAATTGAGTTTGTATTAGAATCTAAATTTTGATTTCAGAAGAATTGACATCTTAACAGTATAAAAACTTCTAGCCCCTGAAGCTGAACTTTGAATTTATTCAGGTTTTCATAACTTTATGTTACCACTCTTCGGTACTTTTAAGTACATTTATCGTGCACATCTTTTGTTAGATTTATTCTCTTTATATGTGTGGAGAGAGATGGAGAGAAAGAGATGGAGAGAGAAAGAGAGAGAGAGAGAGAGAGAGAGAGAGAGAGAGAGAGAGAGAGAGATGATATCTTGCCCCGAACAGCCTTGAATTCATAGTCTGCCACCTCAGCCTCCCAGGTTTTTGGGACTACTGGCCTGTATCACTGTGATTGTTGATGCTGAGCGAGCTCTAGGTTCAATGAAAGACCCTATCTCTGCAGAACAAGGTGGAGAATGACTGAGCAAGATAACCAATATTGAGCTCTATTCTCCTCTAACCTGCATATACATACATGTGCACATGTGCCTGCATGCACAAACATGCAGACATACCACAGTCACACAAATGTTGGTTAGATGGTATTCTCCACTTCCCTAAAGCCATGTAGAAGGCTTCTATCTTCCTTAGAGTAAAAACTGAGAATTCTTAGAGTTCCCTACAAGGGAGCTTCCCTACCTGACATCGTTCCTCCTGGTCTTCCTTCTACTGGCTTGGCTGTGGGAACTGTGGCTCTCCTGCCTTTGCTTAAATACATGAATCCCATTCCTATCACGATCCAAATTGCTGTTGTTATTCTTCCTGGAATGTTCTTCCATCCATTGTCCTCATAGCTCGTTGTTAATTCCTCCATCTCCTGTAGACTTTTAATGAAACATCCTACTTAAAGCCTTCTCTCCCATTTTGATATAATTGGAGATATCTATCTCCCAAAAGTTGTTTGTTCTTCTCTGTATTAGCTTCTGTTTTATACATCATATACTGTATATTTGAGCTAGTTATAGCAGAGATTTTTATGTGTATGTTCTTCACATGTCCCTTAAGGGAATAGATTAGAATTAAAAGTCTATCATATGCTAAATATTGTATAAATTAATAAACAAGTGAAATTGTAAATGTATATAAGAGTTACTAACCAGCTCCAGTCCCAAATATCACAGAGTTTACAATCTCCATGTTACAGAATGAAATTCTAATAAAAGGGAAAGGAGGAGAAATGAAAAAAATCCAGTGACATCCATGAACACTGTGGTTTGCCGACATGATGGAAATAGATCCAGAAAAAAAAAAAAAATCCAGGCCTCTCTTAAAAGTAGAAGGGAGTGAAGATAATGTAGGATCTTGGAAGCAGAGGATGGGTGATTCAAGAAAATGAAGACTGTCTGTAGGAGAGTGGAGTGGAGAACAGCTGTGTACCATGCACTGTACCATGGCATAGGCATGGAGAAAGAATAGAGCCACTTCTGTGAGTGGCAGCATAGGGGAGTGGGGAGGCACTTGATGATTTGACATTTAAAAGGCCTTATAGAAAGTTCTCATGGAGGAGCCTGGTGGAGCAATCCTGTGCTCTTTGACTTGAAAGCCTTCAACTTACTCTGAAAAGGTTTGTCTGTCTGGATGACAGCCTATGTATTCATCCTCAGTCTTCCACATCGAGCACATTCTCTTATCTCTGCCTTAACTCCTGCTGGGTTTGAGCATAGTGTTTTCTGCTTTGAATCCTCAGGTTCCGTTCTTTGGGCCTCTGTTCGATGGAGCGATTGTGAGTGGGAAGCTGCTGCCAAGCCTCATCTGTGCCACGTGCATCAATGCCAGCAGAGCGGTGAAGTGCCTCATCCCACTCTATCAGAGCTTGTATCTTTTTGCTGTAAATATGTAACTTATTAACCCTCCCCAGGGTGAGATTCCTGGCAAGCTTTCAGGAGAGGTAAGTGGGCTTGAGGCCCAGGCTGCAGGACTGTTTGTTGATTTCTATGAAATACGGTGATATTGTGATGCATCCAATATAGAGTTTGTTTTCCTGGTTTGTTCACAGGTCTGTGTCTGAAGGGTTGCAACTGCCACGATGCTTAAGCTCATGGCTTCTCAGGATTTTTGTCAGGTTCAGTCTCTTCTATCTAGAGTCACATTTGACTGTGTGGAAAGAGGGATATGTAGCAAGCTGTTGAAAATCTCATTCAGAGCACCAGAATGCAGAAGCAAAGGAAATGACTAATAAATCAGGTGCACACAGCACCTGAAGAATGTAGAGGGTTCAGAAGGATGGAGGAAGGAGCAATTATACCTGACTGAGAGGAGAGGGAGTCATTTCATGTTTATAAGTATTCTCTCAAGCACTAATTGGCATGCATGTATAATACTTAAATCCATATATCTCTAAGAAAAGAAAAAGAAATTAAGATGAGTGACTTCATAAAACTGCTACCAAAACCATCTAACTTGCTAATAAAACTTAGAATCTCTTTGTTTCTAATTGGTATTGATAATGATTAAAAATACATTCCACTTGACCTTTCTCCATAGACTTCTCCCCACCTAATTGTAAGTGATGCATTATGGGTAGAGGGTGAGTGAGAAATAACATGTAAAGAGATATAGTGTGTGAGAAATACCTTTGATTAAAATAGTGATCATTTCTTGACTAATATCCTGCCTTTGGATTTAAAAAAATACATATGCCATGTGGCAACTTAAAATTATCATAGAAATTCGTAGTAGAAAAGAGCTATTAGGTCCCATCTGGCCCCTCCCCTGGGGCCAGCTGCATTATTCCCTGCAGCAAACTCTCTTGCTTTTTCCAGGCTGGTGGGGAGGGTGTAGAGGCAGCATTCTCTGCAGAGGCTTCCAGAACACTCCAGACGTAATGTATAGCTGTAGTTGGTTCTGCCTCCAGCATGGAATTTTTATTTCACATAAGCTGCAACTTAGAGGAGCTTCATAGCAAAAATGAGAATGACGTGTCCAAACAATTGGTCTGTCAGTTAGCGTATGAGGTGAGGTGAGCTAGACATCTGTAAGTCAAGGATCCTGGACCACGGCACCAAAAGTCCTTCGAAAACAAGAAAATTCTATTTTGTAGCAGTCCACTGTGATCTTTTTTTTTAAATCATGTTACCCTCTCCACTTATCAAGCACATCACAAAATAAATACTTTGTCATTTTACTGATCAATACTGAGGTATCGTTGGAGCAGTCCAATTCACAAAAAAACAGTATTTTTAAAAGTTGAAAAGATAATGATCAGAATCTCTTTAAAAACCTCAAGGAAATCACATCAGGACTGTAGATGCCAGAACCCTAAAATAGCTCATAAAATGGACAGTCTGACATCTTAGAGGACAGCTTAGTATAAAAAGGAGAAAAAAAATAAAGCCTGTTATACTGATCATTATCAAGCTTTAAGTATTTTTCTTTTATATTTTCTTGAATTTATTTGTGTTATTCAAAGAAATGATCTAAAACTGTAAATCAGATGATATGCTCAGTTTTCTTATCCGGATAGAAAAACTTGTGAGGAATACCTCTTGCTCATTTAGCAACTATTTCTATCTGCAAACTGCTGATATTCTGGTCAGAAATAAAGACTCTAATAAGAATGAGGAAATGAGAGGGAGAAAGGGAGATTTCTGTACTTTAAACATCTTCACTAAGTTCTTCAACTGTATACATGTGCCTGTGCCAGCTCTTAACAACCAACTGCTCCCTTACTATTCAGTACAATACTGAAGTCCACAGTGCACTTTGGGGAACACCTGAACTGCTTCAGTGTCATAGCTGATGTCTGGAATTTGCTGCTTCATTGACACAAGTCTGATATTTGAATTTTGAAAAACATTAACTATTCTAACCAGTCCTAATTATGAGTACTAATTGCATTTATTCATTTACCAAACAAACATTTCCTGTGGACTCTCTGCCAAGTCCAGTGCTAGAATCTGGGGCTGCCGCAGCACATCAGGGATCCAGGATTTCAGTCTTTGTTCACACATTTCAGAGATAATAATACCTAAGGATTGCACAGGCTAACTGGTTCCCTTCTCTTCTGTGAATGAGTGAAACCGAGAGTTGGAGTGAATAAGAGTCAAGACAAGAGGACCCTCTCCGAGGAGAACATACTGGGGCAGAAACTGGAGAATTAGAAGCAAACTCTCTTTAGGAACATAGATGCCCAAGATTGAGTGCCTTGGGGAGGTTTGCATTATGTTTTATGTTAATCCTATACATGTTCAGGTCCATCAGGGTGCCTGTGATGAACCCAAAAGTCAGCTGTGGTAGGAATGGCATTCTAGGTGATCTCAAAAGAAGCTTTTCAGATTTCTCATCTTAGAACAGCATGCTAGAGGATCCAGCCAGGGCTGCCTGATAGACAGTGGATAGGCAAGGAGTGTGGGGGCCAACACATCCTACAAGCCTGTGCAGACCCTTGAGGGCTGAAGAGATCAGCGGTGCCTTGGATAGGAAGTATCAGCAGTTTAATCTGAGCAGTGGAGAATGAGCATGTGGTACTCCTTTTAAAACAGAGAAAAGGGTTCCTTGTAAGGTCCTGAAGTATAAGCATTCTCCATTTTTTTTCTGCTGTCCTCCAATGTAAAGTGTTCTTATGTTTGTACTTACCATCACTCAAAGTAAAGAAGTGTTAAATTTTTAAATTGTTTGCAGTGACTTTTATCATTCTAAATTATATAATACTAATTTGATAGCAAATCTATAAGCTTTCAACTCATCACTTGGAATCAATAGAATTTTGCAATTCATATACCCTAGCTCATGTGTGTACATATGTTTTGTTCTTAGTAAAACGTTGTACAAAAACATTTCATCTGTATATATTTTGTTCTTCCTGCATTTGTATTTTAGCAGCCCTTTCTGCTGTTAGTTTATTGTTGAGCAAGAAAGAAGTGATAGGAAGAGAAACCAGGGTCACCCTATAATCCTTTTCCTGCTGTGGCAGTTTGCAGGGCACATGACTGACTACTACAAGGGGATAGCACAGCTAAGAGAGGGTGTGATAGGGTCCTGTGGTTGTTCATGGCTCTGTGGTCATTCACTGCTGCTTTCTTTCTGCATTCAGTGCAAGTTATGCTTTGGTAGAAGAGAAGAGTGTAACCTTGCTTACTAAGGAAGCAGTTCTTATGTCCAGCTGTTCTGGCCATGTGGCCCTGAAGCCCTGCCTGTAATCCATCCTGAAATCCCCAGAACATGTTGAGGAACTTTGGCTCCAAATGTCAGGGAATGATAAATGTTTTTTGGTCTTTTTGGGTTTTTTCCCCCCTAAAGCCTGGCAATATATCCCTTAGCCAAGCTGTATTGGTATGAACCCAGACTCGTTAAGGAAGGAAGCAGCCTGTGTGTGCTGCCCTAGAAGGAACTTCACTTTAAGACCAAATGTCAGAGGAAGAATTACTGCTACCTGTTCCCTTGAGATACAAGTGACTGAGCAGAATAACAAAAATATTTCCTTTTCACCCAGGCCTTCCTTTTTGTTTAACCACTCCATGTCCTTGTTTTGCTTCTAATATTTAGATTACAATTGTGAAATAGAACATTGACAAGCTACTCGGTTCATCTCAGTGTCACACACTTTCTAGAACGAACTGTCAACCTTTGTAAATCCTTTATGTGGGGGCACTTGCTTTTTTGTGAAGTGACTGCACACTGGCCCATGGTGAGCCTGATGACACCCGAAGCAGAGAACCAGTGAATTACTTAGTTACTTCTACCGCTCTATTCTCTCCCCAGCTGATTGATATTTAACTTCCTTAGAATAAACTTGACTGGGATCCAGTTTCACGTACATTTTAACTAAAAGTAAAAATGTGAACAGTTAAGTATCAGTCTGACTATGTAATGCCTTTAAAAACTGCACTTCTGATTAACTGGGAATTAGAAGTACTGCCCAAACAAATTTGTCTTTTGGGGTATTTTGTTTTGTTTTAGCAGTAAATCCAGCATCAGGTCAAAGGCGTTCTTATGTGCAGTTCTCTTGGCTAATGATCAAAGTTGAAATTGTGTGGCAGAGGCACATAGAAGACTGAAAAATATTGTTGTCTCCCATAATTTAAAAAAAAAAAAAAGAAAAATGTGACCACAGTAGGACCGTGTATGGAAAGCACCCTCTAACGGTTCAGCCCAGCCCTTTTGTGCCTTGTGGGCCTTCCTGTAACCTCCACAGTGGGCTGAATCAAATCTGTCAAGCGTGCCTTCATCCCGTGGCCACTGCACTGCTGAATAGCGAGAGCCAACACACCTACCATCTGCCTCTTCTATCGCCCACAGGCAAGCAGGGCCTGTTCCTATGCCTAGAGCACAGTAAATGGGAAGCTTGCCACATGTTATGTTTACAGTTCCCAAGCCAACTAAACATTCCAAAATGAAACTGTGGTCTGCTGATAGAAGTTTCTACAACCATTTGAGCCAAGGGCTTTTATTCCCCTCCTCAGATAACTTGTTTCAGGAAAAAGGTTCCCTAGCCATATGCAGCGTGCCCATTAGGAGGAGTTCACCCCAAATCAAGCAGATGGTGGCTTTCTAGTATAAATGTCCACTTCAATAGAACAATAGTCTCAGTTTCATTTGCCATCTCTACTCTGGAACTATCCATATTTGATGGAGAGAACCGGTGTGCCTAAGAAAAAGTAGTTTATGCCTTAGTTCTGTCACAAGTGAAATTAGCTTTCATTGTCAGCAAGCAGGTACATGGACATATGGTAACACTAGAGCTTCTCTCTTAGCTATGTGAGTTTAATAGCATTGCTAGATTCTGCTCCTAATTTACACAGTGTCAAATATGACCTTTCCTTTTAAAGTTCTAACAACCCAAGTTCTTTCTTTTCCAGTGGGATCCTGAGCTCTTC